TAATTTTTAACTAATTAAATAATATTTTTACTTTATTATTTTAAAAAAAATTAGCATGAATTTTTTAATATAATATTTATAATTTATCAAATAAAAACTATTACATAAATTTTTATAATATAATATTTAATTTTTTAATATATTACCTAAATTAAATTTTTATTTATTCTATTTTTTTCTAAAATTATAACTTAAATAATTCATATAATAAACAAATATATAAATTTTAAATTTCCTATTCAAAAATAAAAAATATATATAAAAAATAGAATAAGAAATTATTAATTAATATTTTTAATAATTATTTAAATATATTTAAATAATTTAATATATATTTAAATAATATATTATTTTTATTATTTTTTATATAAATATTATTTAAATTTTAAAATTAATTTTTTTTAATATTAATTTTATTATTTTTAATTATATAATTTATTTATTTTTTTATTTTAAAAAGTGGTAAATTTTAAGTTGGAATTCGGTTTACGGAACCCTAATTCCAAATACGAGTAAAAGAGGATCAGTTAAGTAAATAATTTGTTGAGAGATTGAATTAAGTAAATAATTTCATCATCTTTTATATATATATATATATATATATATATATATATAATAATAATATTATTTTAGTATATATATAATATAATAATATTATTTTAGTAAAAAAGTGACGGCTCTGTACTATTGTTGATACTATTATCAAAATTTTCATATTTATCTTTGTAGCAGCTTTAGTTTTTTATTATTTTCTTGTCCATCCAATAATTAAGTATGGTACAACTTTTTCACATAAAAAATTAATATTATAGTTTAAAAATAGGTAAAAGAAAAAAAAACATTTACTTTCTAAATTAAAAAAAAAGTGTAAAATTTACTTCAAACGTAATGCGTTTAACCAGATTAAGCTATAAACTAAAACGACCAAGTCCATTTAAATGAGACCTTTAAATTTCTTGAAGAGCATTTAATGGATTTCAAAATTAAATGAAAAAAGTTTAGTACGTAAAAAAAAAAAATTTAACAAAGAGTTCTGAATGTATTTCATAATTAAATATCGGGACGTATCTATTTTGATTATATTGGGAAAAAATAATTTCGCAACCTTTTGTTAATTACGTTTCACATTTTAACATTTTATTATACACAGGAATATTTTTAAATAACAGCTAAGAAAATAAAATGTGATGTGTAACTAGCAGAAGCAGACAATGCAACAAAAAAATTGTCCTCCCGAAACAAGAGTATATCTTGAGCCCGACAAGATCCAGTTTTCAGCCCAACAAACTGTCTGTCTGATACGGGCCTTCTTCTGGGCTTCTTTATTTAGTACAGGTTGCACCTCTATAATTTCTTTCGGGCATTCCCATAATTAAAATAAATTTTATTTTATTTTTATATTTATCATCTTTTTGGATTCGATATTTCAGAAATGCATTTTCACCGCATTCAGTTTGGAAATAAATTCCAAAAATAATTAATTCGAAATATATTTTTAGATTGAATGTTCTACAAATACATTTAAAATTAATTATTCTAAAAAATTAATTATTCTAAAATAAGATTCAAAATGTATTTCCAAATTAAATGTTTTAAAAATGTATTTTAGATTAATTTTTTGGAATTCACTTTCGAATCTTGAATTTACAAATGCATTTTGGATTAAGAAGTCCCAATTCTTACCTACACTTTTAATCTAATTTTTATAATCTAATTTTCATGTACATTAGGACAAATATTCTATAATAGGTACAATTTATAATTTATAATTTATAGTCTTATAGAATGGAGGTAAAAAAGCAATAAAATGAAGTTAGAAGAGTTATGAAAATGCATATGAGATATAACGGTGGGGAGGGGTACAAGAGTGAAAAAGTTTTTCAAAATTTTAAATAAAAATTAATAAAAAAAATTTGATTATAGGATGGAGAAAAAAATTATAAATAAGAGAAGAACGAACCTTGTTATAAAACTATATATGAAATTACTCATTATTTTGGAGATTGTTTTTATTAGACAAATCATAGTTAGATTTTTAAACACAGGTGAAATAAGACAAGTTGGAGATTTAATATACATTCTGGGTCTGACATATTAGCTTCATTGCCACTTAACAATGATAGAGATAAATAACACGCTTTTATGAACAAGTGAAAGTGCTTCCATTTTATAGGATTTTTATTAGGGTTTGATGCTGAAAAGAAGAAGATTAGGTTCTTCCCATCCTTACGTGGAAAGGGTGTGTGTCAGTGCATTGCAGTGCTTTTCATAATGTTAGAGACACTGTTTAGGTGAATTCCATTCAACCATGCTGCTTATTTTAATTACACGTATGTTAATGGATAAGGTCACCATGTACATCCTTAAACATTTGTTTTGTTTGACGATAATATTATCCTTTAACAACCATTAAAATACCTTAATTAATCCATTATTAATTTTGCCATTTCAATATGTTTTGAATATAAAGTTAATTTAACACGATATTGGCATGTCATATTCAGTGTCAGTTCGGCGGCTACTCAATTTGATGTTTCTTATAATGTTTGTGTTTCTTTGCGTTTGGTTGGGTTGATCCCTCCTCAATTGACTAACAATCCTATTGTTTTTTCCAAAGTCAAAACTCAATTAACACAAAAGTTTTCACTCTTTCTTTCAATTAACGACCATGCTGTACTGTATATTAACGAAAAGTGCATTGTGGTAAAATGAATCTAGTGAGGAAAAACTAAAGAAGTGGACAAACGGAAAGATCCAAGAAATGAAGGCAGAGGAACAAAGTGGTGTTTCTTTGACGTTTGGGATGCATTTGTTAAACGTTTTAAAGTGATGTTACATGTTAATATGCAGGAGTTGTCTTTGGAGATTACTTGAATCGTAATTGATAAAGTATATTAATTATAGTTTTGGTTAATTTGTTTCCTGGGAAGGTAGTAGTGGAAGTACGAAGATTGAAGAAGCTCAGTTGTGAATGGAAAAGCAGACGCAACTGCAAGAGCTTCTTCTTCCTCCATATTTACCTCCCGTACGCAAAGGACTTATCCAATCCAACCCTCTGCATCCCCTCAATGCTCCTTTCCTTGGTTCCAAAGCTTTGGAAACAATAAAAAATATTTATCAACTGTGAAAGCAGAAGCAGTAGTACTGATTTGCACTCAAGCTGGATGGAAAGAAACGATTAAGGACATTCCACAAGTATTAATTTGCATGCAGAATTACTTTAGGAAGGAGCAATATAATAACGTATGTGTTTGGACTAGCATATAGAGAGTATAATGGTATAAAATATGTTAGTGAAGAGCGTGTTTGGAGGAACCGACTTTGACAACACGACACGCATGTAGCATAGGATTCACACTCCTTCAAGTCACAACTTGTTAATTGAAGGCCATCATCATCTGGATCGTAACATAGCCACATTACGCGTAAGTATACTTTTTCTTCCGAAAGAAAGCATGGAAAATTATATATAGTTGCTCACAACACAACTCAATTAATCAACGTAGCTTAGTTTAATGCATTATTATTATTATTATTATTAGTAGTACACACTGTACCACACGTTGAAGCATTCCCCACACGTCTTGCCAGATACAACTCGGTCACCAGATAAGTACTTGGAACACCTTATTATTATTCTACTCATTCCTTCCTACACTGTTAATCACCTGTCTCCAATCAACATCTAAACTTGAAATCAGGAAAAGAATTACCCAAGTGTAAGAGAAAGGAGAGGATGAATATTAACTATAAAATGATTAGAAAGTAAGTAGGTAGGTAGTTTTCCCTGTTGCTAAAAAGGGTGTGTATGGATGGTGGATACGTACAAAGACTTGTTATTAATTAGTGGGTGGATAGATTTGCCAACCTAATAACAAATGCCCTTAGCCACATAATAAAGCGGTTGCAAATTTGGTATAATGATGCCAACATGTGCATTAAAGGCAGGAACCACATGGGGAGGGTTTCGGTTCAACCCACCTTACCCATTGCCCTAACATCACACTGCACAAACTAATTGGGTGTAGCTAGCCTTTCATTACCACTCTTTTTTTATTTTTCTATTATTTCTCCTTTTTTTCTCTCTACATAGAAGAGTTGTATTGGATTAATGACAAAAAAATAAAAATAAAAGTAGAAAGTATTTAAAATATGCTGGAATTTCAGTAGACCTTTTAATGAACACAGTTCATTTAAGCTGTCAAAAAGACCTAAACAAAAACAATGAAGCAAGGAAATTTGCGTTGTTCACGCGGCATGCAGTGGATGTTTTTGGGCCAAGTAAAACCCCACCATGTTGATTACTTTATTGGAGAAAGACCTTGACTTAATCCATCCTTAAGCACTGGTCAATTAATTTGGGTTGCAGTATACCACCCACCATCAATACACTTCACTTGTATATTATTATTATTATTATTATTATTATTTTTTATAATGGTGATGGCTTATTTGGTATTAGATTCCTACCAATGCCCATATCAATATTAACTCTCTAGAAAATGTCAAAATCTATGAATTCAGCACGTGTCTTGCCTATTCTCCCCTTCAACGTACGTGGTCCTTTTTTCTTTTACCTGTTTAATGATACAATGAGTAAAATGGTATTTACTTCAGATACATTTCCCATTTCACTCACACACACTTGGAAAAAAAAATGTTGTTAACCAGAAAAGGTAATTTCTTATCAGAGAATTTATAATGTATAAGAATATGCACATACTGGGAACTCACATGTATATTTATCTTTGACGTAAAATAATATTACTGAAAAACGAATTTGTTAGATTGCATCAATGACAAAGAAGAGTCCAAAAGCAATGAACAAATTTTGTCTGTACAGATGAGCAGAAACAAAATCCGAATCTAATCCCTAAACCAAAGAAAAACAAAAGCAACAAATGGAAATTAAACTAAGCGGGTGCGATTCATATTCACGAGATCAGCAAATTCAATTTCAATCAAATTAAAATAAACATCCATTCATTCTGTCAATGAAGCTACGCCGTTTCATCGCCGTCATCATGGTCCTCCCCTGAAAACAAACACGCCCTCTTGGTGGCGGTTACCGGCAACGGGCTTTCCACCTCTTGCTCGCCGCCTCCGCCGACCTTCTTCCTGAAGTCGAACCCCACCGGCGGCCAGAACTCGGTCAGCGGCGCCGGGAGGTTCAGATCAAATCCACGTAGCGTGTGGGAGGAGGCGGCAACGCCGCCAACGCCGTCGGAGGAGGAAGTGACGCCGCTGTTGTTGTTGCCGTTGGCGATGCTGTTACTGTGGTGGTTGCCGCCGTCGTAGTGGCAGCGCTTGTGGCCACCCAGGGCCTGTCCCGTGGGGAAACTCTTGTGACAGATAGAACACTGGTGCAACCTTCCGCCGCCGACGACGGTGGAAGCGGAAACGCTGTCGTTGGCGACGGCGGAGAGAGTGGTGGATTCGGAGGAGGACTTGCGGTGGCTGGCCTTGTGTCCACCGAGCGCTTGGTAAGAAGGAAAAGCCTTGTTGCAAACGGTGCACCTGTGAGATAATTTGAGCGGCGGTGACGCTTCTTTCTGCGACTGTGACGGTGACGGTTGGCGGTGAGAAAATTTGTTGGCGTTATCGTTGCCGCTTTGTGCGAGCATGATGAGGCAGAGAGCGAGGTACTCTTCCTCGGTCTCAAAACGCGGTCGTTTGGAGCGTTTTCTTTTAGCCCAAGGCTCGCGCAGCTGAAGGTCAACCTCCTCCTCTTCTTCTTGGTAGGCACGGAAGGGAGTGGCGGCTGCTGTGGGAGAATTCAAAGCCTCCAAAGCCATTAAGAAATGAAAAAGCCAAGATTGAAATTTGATGGTTTGAAGTAGTTTTTGCTTACTAGATGTACACTAAGAGCTTATAAGGAGTGCGTAGTTTAGTGGGTGAGGAAGTGGGTGTTGGCAGAGAGGAGGGTTTGGTGTTTATATAGGGACGATGAGATGCGTTGGCGTTGTAATGAAAAAAAGAGAGTGAAGTCGGTCAACCAAAGAGCGAGGGGATTCACTTGGATGACTTTTTCCAAGTCAAAACTACGTTACGTAATACGTCTGCGTTATCTTCACTCTTTTTCTTTTTGGGTGTCTCTACATTAACCCCACACTAAGGTAATGCTTATGCCTCTCTCTCTCTCTCTCTCTCTCTCACTTTTCTCCCTCCTCCGTGTAAAACACGATTTTCATTTTCATTTCCATTTCCACCTACATGGTTACGCGGTCATCTCTAGACATTTCTTTTGTGTAATATTAACCGTATCATGGTTTTGGTGAAGGTGAACAATTTAAGATTTCATCTGCTACTTACTTTAAAGAACTAGTTAAACGTTTGAAATATTAATTAAGTTGATGTATCTATTCTCTTCACGAAAGCGCACGCATCTATTTACATCCTTATCTGCTTCAAACTGGTAATTAGCGGAGAGATTTGCATGGAATATGATTCCGGAGGAGTCATGCTGAATTAAACGTTTGACCGTTTGATTTTTGAAAAAGCAAAATTAGACGCCTCGTGGCGTCATGGCTTTGATCATAGTCACGAATTGGCTTTGGAGTTTCGTGGTTTGGGCAACCACTTTCACTGCTCTCACTCTTCGTTTATTCGTTATCGTTCGTTAGATCCCACACTACAACTACGCTAACACTCACCAACATAATCACCACGTGCCCCTTCCCAATTTAATACATACCAATACGTTTCTTTTATTTACTAATAATTAAAAACAAAATACTATTTCCAAAATGTATGCGCTTCTTTATAAAATGAAAAAGGATAAATAATCTCCACACCAAGTTTGGTAGCTTAATATTTAAAACTTTGACTTCTCATTAAAATAATAAAACACGTTGCTTCACAAGTTATTCATTTTAACATCCTTAATAATCATATACAGTAAACCATAATTTATTAGTTCATATGGTTACCCGCAAAATATAAACTATGATTAACTAACGTATTTACAAATAAATTTAAATAAAATATCAAATTAGTTTAAATTGATTATATGAAATTAATTCATCTAATTTAAAACCGTTTGACTACTTTTCCATTCTTCGATTGTTGTAATGAAAATAGCCATGATTTTATTTTAATTAAGTTTGGATATTTAGATTAGTAAGAAATTGGTGAGTATTCCTTTTAGCATAAAAGCACGAATATTATCTTTTAAGAGAGACATCTTTCCCTGATTTAAGTAACTCTCCTAATACAAATTTCACATATACGAAATTAAAATTTAAAAGTGTATACACGAGGATTAAATCAGATAAACACAGTTATAAAACATAAATTGAAGTTAAAAACCGGTGTACAAGAATAGTGCAAGGGTAAAGTGTTCACCATCAACTAATGAGTAATTTGATTGAGTAGAATGAGACAAATATGACATGATGAGATGAGGATGGAAAAGGAAAACATGCATAATAATTATTTTCATGATTAAAAAAAATATATATATATATATATATATATATATATATATATATATATATATATATTATTACATTAGAGAAATGATAGTGTGCATTCTAGAAGCATAACGGGAAAAATGTTAAAGGCGTGTTTGTGTAGTGATTTAATTGAACGTGTCAAGCGAAGGAGAGAGTGAGTGAAGAAGAGTGGTAGAGTGTGGTAGTGGGAGAGAGTAGTTGCTTCACCGACGCAATAAAAAAGAAGAAAAAAAGCGATGCGAATATTCATACGCAACGCAGCCAAGTTCTTCTAATCCTCACACGTTGCACCTTCAACTTTCAATTGCCTGCTTCCACGTGTCCTGCATACTCCACAAAACAAATCTCATAAAATCACCTCAAAACTCATTCCAAACGTAATTCTAATTCATCAAAACTCAAAAATGAAATTAAATTTTTACGAGTGGATGTAGTGCAGTACATGCTGTGGCATACTTTTCTTTGCACATGGCAATGGCATTGTTCAGTGTGATGGATGCTGAAACCTCTTCTCTGAATAGAGGTGGAATGAAGAAGAATTGGTGAAGACCATTAATCTTACAAAAAATCATCTTTTAGATTCCAAATTCCTTTCCCTATTGGGCTTTTCTCTGACCCAAAACGAGTCCACAACAGTGTCGTAGAAGCAAACGCAAAGGACGAATTTATTTAATTATTTTGGTGATTAAAAGTAGGAACAAATAATAATCCTTAAATTTAATTTTTAATCACTTAGAGAATTCGAAAAATAGATAATATTTTATAATTATTTATTATTGGACGATGAAGGTTGGGAACACGTGTAAGTTAAAGCTCTGAACAAATCTATAATGCATTATGAATGGATTTTTTTTTTATGCAGCAAGATTTTTGGTAAGAAAGGGTTTCTGAAATGGTTCAGACTCGTGGTTATTCCAGTGAATGATTGTCACTTTCAGTAAACTTATCCTTCTTTATTTTATCATTTGTGACCACTAATGATTAGCCCTATCATGAAATCATTGTGCGCATTTTTTTAACATATTCTGGGCTCACAATGTTCATGTCAAGGTTGTGCATGCAACTAAGTTTTGTTGTGTCATGTTCAAAAAATAGGGTTGAGATAATGTATATTTGGTGTATTAATTATGTGAATTTTTGTGTGTATAAACTAAAATTTTGAAACATTGATTAACGTGATGTATTTAAATATGTATACTAAATTATACTTTTCTAAAAAAAAAAAAAGCCAGGAATAAATATTTGTTGGATGTACTCAAAGTTCAATCTCACAATTTTTGTATATATTATCAGTGAGTTTGTCCTATTAACGAAGTTTAATAAATAAATATTTTAAAAAAATAGTTACACTGAAATCAATATAAAAGTAAGTTAATAAACTCATTTGATTGCAGATGCAACTATTTTTTTTATCTTCAGAGTAACAATGATGAATTATAAAAACAAATTATGTTAAAAAAATAATACTCAAATATTTTATTAAAAAATATATAATTATTCTCACAATAAAGACCGTTAAAATAATAATAAAAATATTTAATTAAAATGATAACTAAAAGATCTTATTAAAATGTAGAGGAGATAAATATCACTCTAAACAAATTATCTTTAATTCCCTGTAATAAAAATTATACATATTTAAAAGTTAAAATAAAAATAGTAATATATTAAATATTTTAAAATTGGAAAAAAAAAAGTTGAAGGACCAGACACCAATTGATGGAGTGAGTTTGTTTCTTTGTAGAAACAAATATTTATGAATTAATTTGGAAGTGAGTTGAAAAAGAAAAACTCAATCCAAATTCATTACATGTGAGTTTCAAATTTAATTGGGTTTGTTCATCTTGATTGAAAACAGTAAAATTATAATCAGTCTGTGTTTAATTATTCATCCCAAACTTTCATGTTCAATGGGTTAAACAGATAGAATAAACGAGGTTGAAATTATTTATCAACTAACTCATTTTATATAAAGCATAAAAACTAGATATTTATGAAGATAATTTCAAACTAATCAAATAATTAAAAATATAAAAATAGTAGAAGAAGAAGATCTAATCGAGATATTAAGATTTGGAAAAAAATTAGTAAGGTGTTTAGGTTGTTGATGATTAGTTTTTTCTCAAAATTCTAATATTATATAAGAAAATGTCTACCTTATTGGACTCGAATCTACAGTACCATACCCGAACCCGTTTACCGCAAGAACTGGATAGTACCTTCTCGCGCACCTATCTTCCTCGCCGTTGGAACCAAAACCACATTCCTCGTACGTACCCTTCATCGGTTCACATCAATTTTTGAAACTTTGTTTCCAATTGCGTGTACCCATGTCCTCTTCTCTCTCCTTATCACTCTCTGCCCCCTCCTCCATCAACGATTATTCCTTCCTCCATGGAACAAAGCTCTTTCCCCTTTCTCGAAGGGTGGCACCACGCCGCTTCAACTCTTCCTCTGCCAAGTGCTCCCTCGACCACATTCCCAAGCAGTTCAGAAAGGAAAATCTCAAGGATGGATGTTAGTTTTTTTACCTTTCGTTCCTTTTCTTTTGAGTCTGATGACTATGTACTCTGTTCGATTTAGATAAGGCAAAAGAAAAACAAAAACTTGACTATGTAGTTTTTAGGAAAATTAGAGCAGCAAAATGAAAGAAGTTGGGATTTTGTAATCTGGTTATCAATTATAGTTTGGTTCTTTTTATGTGATTTAGGACTGTACTGTCTAATTTTGTGTAATGCAGAGCCTCTTTAATCAAGTTTGTCATGTGTTAAAATCTGAAGTAGCAAAGGAGCATGGAACATAGTGTTTTTTACTGTTTAGCGTTTGTTTTTGTCATAATCGTTGTTTTTGTTCCCATAAGGGTTGTTTTCGTGCATTTCTTGTTGACTGAATATGCGACCTTGATTATTTACCCCCTTAGGAAGGTTTAAATTCTTAAACTGAATTTCACTTTACCTTCTGTTTTTTTCTTTGTCCAAAGTCCAAACCAAATTTAGCCCCCCACGGCAGAATTTTAAAATTTATGCTTGTCATGTTTCAGAGGCACAAATCCCGGTCCTTAAATTTTGAGTAACAATTCAAGAGATGATTATTTTTCTCCTTAATGGAAAACCAGATGCATACGTCTTTTGAAATGTATTAGTAAGACAGACAGTGAATCATGTGCATAAAATTTGTAGGAAAACAAAATAGAGAGACACTATGAATTCCGGTAGTATACACTAGGAGAAACAGCATAGGGCAAGACCATGTGAAGTTTTTTGGTTGGCTAAGAAAATAACAATATGCATTTTCATTGTCAGTTTTGACTGATTTTCATACTCTTTGATGTTTCAAAGTGTTCTGGGAAAATAAAGGGGTAAAGTTTGTTTATGAATCATAATGCTACAAATTGTTGCTCTTAAATTAAATTGGATGAAATTTTCTGGAGGTTGAGTATAATTTTCCCAAATAAAAAATCTACAAAAAAACTTTATTCATCAAGTTCGGTTGAAAAGTTTAAAAATTGAGTGCCCAACCTTAATTTTTTAGTTCCTCTATTATGTGCAGTGACGGAAAACTACAAGAATGTACCTCAATATCTATATGGCCTTACTCCTTCACAAATGGACATGTTCATGACAGAAGATAACCCTGTCCGCCGGCAATCTGAGATGGTTACAGAGGTTCTCACCATATATATTCTTCATGCTGTCTGTGACGTTATAATAGCAAAATTGCTAATCTGTAGTCTAATTGTTGATTTTGCAAAGCACCCAAATTTTATCACAGCATATATTTGACTGTTCAAAACTGCTCTTAATTTTAATCATTGTCACAGGAAAGCATCTCATCTGCCAGAAATTATATAGAGAATGGTGGAATGTGGAGTCTATCTGGCATGGGTAAAAATAATGCTTCAAAATACAGCATGAGTGTTAGTATGTATCGAGGAGGTAGGGGAACTGGAAGGCCAAAAACTGCTCCACCAGATCTGCCTTCTTTGCTTTTGGATGCTCGAATATGCTATGTGGGCATGCCGGTAAGCCTCATCCTGATGGCTTGTGTTTTTTCCACCCACTAGCTTTGATATACAGATAAATACCTGATATCTTTATCCCAATCTTCTTGATTTCCCTCTTTACGTCTTTATGATTTTTTACAGATTGTTCCAGCTGTGACCGAACTTGTTGTTGCTCAATTCATGTGGTTGGATTATGATAACCCTACCAAACCTATTTACTTATATATTAATTCATCTGGAACTCAGGTAAGTGTTATGGCCATTTTCTAAAATTTTCCCTTTTGATGTATGAGGTGTTGATTTATAGAATTGCCTTTCCTTACAATGTTTTAACGTTCAGAATGAGAAGAATGAGACCGTGGGATCAGAGACTGAGGCATATGCCATATCTGATATGATGTCTGTAAGTTTTTATCATGAATCATGTGCCACTTCTACAACTACCACCCCACTAAGGCTGGGTCACGATTTATCTTTTTGAACTACTTTTTCATAACAATTGCTTTTTAATTAACCTTTTTACTTTCTTCCTCAAGTATGTCAAAGCAGATGTGTATACTGTAAATTGCGGCATGGCATTTGGTCAAGCAGCAATGCTTCTCTCACTTGGAACAAAGGGTTATCGTGCTGTACAGCCAAACTCATCTAGTATGAATCACATCTTTGCAAACTTTTGAAAAGAAAAATTGCTTTCACTTATTCATTGTGGCTTTTTGGAACTTCTGACGAATGCTTGTTTTGTATTTACAATCTGATTCATGATAATATTTGAAGAATGGACAGTGGTTACTAATCTATAATTTTCCCATTATCTTTTTTGTCATCACATATTACACCTTTTGATCAAATGGCTACTAATATGATTGTCAAGAAATATTTTCCGGAAGATCAGTTTGTCGAATTCTAGTTCTTGTGTATGCCTAGGGCGTGGATTGTAGAGTTATGATCTGTGTGAACTGAAACCCCAGTAGTCTACATTTAAACTGTTGGCTTGCTATAGTTTTGATTAAATGAGATCCCAATTTTCAAGGAGCAAATGAAAGAACTTTGATCTTTATGTAATGCTATAACCTGCAATACTTTGTTCACAAACATGGCCTACATGGACTCCGTAGTATTTATTTCCAGATCACAAGTAGAACCTATTTTCCTTTATTTTTTGGCACACATGGCAATGTTAAGGTATTGATTCTTGTTACAGACATGCAACAATAGTTTATGGAAACTAACAGAAAGATATATTGATTGGATTTCATAGAAAGCCTTCTTTATTAGCTATAGAGTTTCTTTCCTCCCTTAAATGCTGAATTGCTGATGGTATATTTTATATTGTGACGAGAAATTTCTACATAGTTAGGAATATTTCTTCCCTGTCATTTGGTAGTTTTGATCATTGACAAGGTAGAAAGATAACTGCCCGTATGTTTTGTATAAATTATGTGGAACAGAAGAATGTATAAACTATGATTTTTGGCATTGACTTATGACGGATTAACTGTTTGCTATTGCAGCAAAATTATATCTCCCAAAAGTCAACAGATCAAATGGTGCTGTTATAGACATGTGGATTAAGGTTCTGTTACCTGTTTGTTCTCTTGTCTGTATTCTCTCAATTATTTCAGACAGTATATTTATATCAACTATATTGGCAAAACACATACAGGCAAAAGAGCTAGAGGCAAATTCTGAGTCTTACATTGACTTGTTAGCAAAAGGCACAGGGAAATCAAAGGAAGAAATTACTAAAGATGTCCAGAGGCCTAAGTATCTTCAAGCACAGGAAGCTATAGACTACGGAATTGCTGACAAAATAATCGATTCAAGTTCATCAGATGTTGCATTTGAGAAGCGGGTAATAATTATTACTATTTACCAATGGTTATTCTCTTTAAACGTTTATATAACATGCTTACGATTACTGTCTGGATCAGAATTATGATGAAATGCTTGCTCAATCAAGAGCTATGAGGAATCGGGCTGGTGGCAATCCTCAAGTGTCTCCTTCAGGATTCAGGTAATCACACAACAAAGGCCACTTAATCAGCTCCGAATCCACTGGCCTTCAAGGCTAGTGGGATTAAGTCGACGCCCGGTGTAAAGGTCAAGCAGCTATCTCATCAAAAGGCCAAATGGAAATTTTCAATGGATACTATATGAAATCTGTATCTTGGCTATTGGATGACTTGTTCAATACTTAAATTACTTTGAACTATGTATGCTTAGTTTCAATATCTAAAGAAAATTACCAGTTTTTTTTTAAATGTAAATATCGAACGGTTACCAATGTGATGATGGACTTGAATCAGACAAACATCATATTTGAACGGCATTGGGTCCTTTAAATGTTTTGCCTTACTTTCCTCATCCTTCTAGAGTAACAGTTTTGCAGTACTTGTTTTACAATTAAATGAATGCAACTATGACATGATTGTTATTGTTGGCTTACCAGCCTCACATGATCATGAGAGATGCTTCCAGTAATGAGTTGAAAAATTGAGTGAGAGGCACCACGCTTTAAGGTTATCCTTGGCATATCAGTTTCAATTTATACTTTACAATAGACCTTGTACCAAGTGCACAATTTGAAGAAAATATAGACAAACAATAGTTTACATGTTTTTGGCTTTCACAAGAGGGAAGTGAAACAATAGAAATAAGAAGATATGAAGAAATCCCTATTTCTGAAACGACCATCAGGAATCACGCTGGAGGGTAGACTTTGGGCTTCGGCTTGACCTCAATCTCGTTTACACTGCGAACGTAGATTGCATCTTGTTCTAAGCTGCATAAGAAACGAGCAAGTTAAGGTAACCTAGCATGTACACGAATGGAAAAAAGACGTGAGTGAGAAAGAGAACTTACACATTAGGTCCTTTTTTAGGCCCTTCTTCGAATGTGTAACTTGATGCTACAGCCAAGAGGCGTCCATCTCTGTTAAACGATAATGCCGCAATGCTAGTCGGATATTTTGAGTACTAGAAAAGAAAACGTTAATTTAGAACTTGAATGTATTACTATATGACAATTCTGGTCACTCAATTACTCAAAGGGAAAAGGATATAAAAACCTGGTATAGCCTCTTCTTATTGTTTCCGTCCCACACGTTGACATAACCGTCGCAACCACCTGTGGCAAACGTGCCATATCTGCACAAATTTTTTTTTTATTAAGCATTATCATGGTTACGATTCAGTCAATGAGTTAGTAACCCTAACATGCACCACAACAAATTCCAAAGTTCATTTAAATGGTACATTAGTCACTGCATTTCATCTTTGGAGCTTTTGAAGTTTTAGGGAATAGGCAAAGGAGGAACACAAGAAAGTATAACTAAGTTAAGATCGTAATCCAGTAATACAGAACACTCACGTACTAACTCCTTGTGTTTATTATACCACTCAAACTGTGAAAAAACATCTATACCCTCAATTTTAAACGACAATATGTAGTTAACTAAGAAAACTTTCTTAACATAATTTATATTTCTGAACTGGATCCTTGAATGAGGCAAGCTACAGCTATTGACAGTGTAAATAGTAGAGTAACAGGTTAAGTAAAAGCAATTTCAAATACTCTTCATAGAGTGTCTCGTTATTTAAGAAGATGATATAATCAAGGTAAAAGAACACTCTAAATTCTAAAACACTTACATGGGGTGGTATGAAATTGCATTTACAGGATAGACGATGTCCCTTCCGGCCTCTGATTTTCGGTGACACTTGAAAGCATATCTGAACCAAAGGTCACAAATCATTAACAGCTAGAAGTTGATGGATACATGCTATTTTTGGTATGGACTGAAAACTATCATGTGTATGAAGAAGAAGTTCAAAATATCCATATCACGGTATTATTGACAAGGGAAAACAGAGAAATACATAACAAGTATTTACTTTTTTGCCTGAAAAGATTCTGAGAGGTCAAAGAATTCCATCGCAACCCGCCCTTCAACAGAACTTAGTGCATATCCTGCACAATGTAGTTGTACAAGAATGAAAGGAAATCTAGGTTAAGAAACACGACAGCGGCATTGATAACCATTATTTAAAGTCCAGAATATCATCTTTGAAAAATCAACGATTGGTTTAAAACCATTACTTAGTTAAAGTTCACCTGTTCCATTTGGATAACAACGCACACATCTGGTTTGATATTTCAATGAAGATTCTCTTTTCTGCTCAGGTTGAGACATTTTCCTCAAGTCATAGATATTAACATGTTTTCCAGCTGTTGCTACAACCAGGCGATTTCCAACCAGCGAGAGAGAGTAAACACGCTCAGGCTGTGGATATGTCCCGACGAGTGTGCGCACTTGGCTACTTGCACCTCTAGGGTCCCAACATTTCAGCGTTTTGTCCAAACTACCAGTGATCAATTGCCCTTTAGTGCCAGACAAGACAGAAGTAAACATGAAATACCCTTTTGAGAATAATTTCCAGGAATTCAGTGACATAATGACATAGATGAGATGAGGTCATCATTATAGAGATAGAAAGGAGAGACCTGCAGCATACGAGTACTCAACACAACGAACAGGCGCATCATGCCTTCCTAGAATATCCTCTTTATTAGAGCTGAAGACAAGCCTGGATGGAGCACAATAAAATAAAGGGTGAATTACACTCTTCACCGCTTAGAGATGCATAAATTACACTTCCGCTTCCCTTAATCTTAAAATCATAATTCCCTCTCTAAACAGACATGAATTGTGTTACATTATTCTAGAGTCTGTCTGGTAGGATGAAAAGAAAAATGGATGAAAACATGAGAAGTGAATGATAATAAATGAGAACTACAGTAAAATAAAAGTTTTTGGTTTTAAGTAAATAAATAATAAGTAGATTAAAAATAACTGCTGAATCTTACAACTTAAAATTTTTCTTCTTTCTAATTTTTCCTTAACCAAATACATAAATGAATTTTATATCATCTCCTCTCCACTCTATTTCTCATTTACCCAACAAAGGGTAAATGTAATCTAACCTCAAAGGGGTATGACAAGGCAACTACAAAGAAACCTACATCCGAAGGGCGTTTTTTTGTGTTATAATAACATATCAGTTTAGAGAAATTTTTCAATAAGCATCTCTAAGAAAGAAAAATAAAAATGAAATCATTTTTAGAATAAGTTAAAACTAATTTTTATTTAAATTATTTTATATATATATAAAAAAAAACTATCTTCCATTAGTTTCTTCAAATTTTGATCTTTAACTCAGGAATAAATTAATATTAATTTATAACTCTTTTTTTTTTTTTATATCTTAGACGTAGTTATAGTCTAGATTGGCCCATCTTCGACAAATAGTTAATTTTGTACTTTGGATTATCAAAATTTGGAATTCAGAAGATAAATGATGTCTTATATACAGCAATTTTGGAGCTTAAAAAAAAAAAATCTAAGTTACAGGCTAAGTAAGCAAGTTTGAATTTGAAGAAGATGTTTGAATTTTGTATTCATATTTATAATGAGACCTTTATGCCAATTGGCTTAGCCACCTTTTTGCCATGGAGTGGAATATGTACCCTCATAATGCAAAGTAATTATACTAAGCTTAAAGGGCATGGCCTAGCAGAGGTATGATGCATTATTTCATTGATGAGAATTTGCTTAACATATTTATTGAGGCGTAGCAAAATTATTACAGTGCTTAATCCTGTATTATACAGACTAATTTGGTTCATTATTTTATTAGGAAGAATTGGCTCAGTCTCAACAACAAACCTAGCACATGTATGGATGCATGCACTTACGTTTCATTCAACAACCCTTCATCTTTTAATTGTGCACAATAATTACAAGTGTGTAATGTTTCAAACTATTTTGCTTTGTAATCATTAATATACCCATTACTTCCATTCAAATTTATAAAAAAACATATTTTGCATTGCAGATACTAATACAATAACATATATATTTCAAATACAAAATATCATTTAACATCGTTTCGTATCACTCTTCATTTGTTTAAGACACCCATACATACTATCAAAATGCAAAAATAAAACATACCAAAGGCTATCGGTGAAAGGAGACCAAATGGATCCAAGCTCGGTGAAAATAGAGTGAATGAAACCACCACTGAGAAAGAAAATGAAGCTGAAGCTAGTGCACCTAAGATGAAATTAAGCACACACTATGAAAGAAAATCAAAGGAGGAGTGTTAATGAAGACACAATTGAAGCTATTGCACTCTCAGAGACCACGTTGGAGAAGAGGAACCACATGCAGAACTTTAACTTCTTTCTCTCTTTTTATTTATTTTTCCTATTTAATTGACATAACCATTGAGACTTTTAAAAATGACCAAGTAAGAGGTATCATTTGGAGGATTATTTTTTTGGTGTAGGTGTATCAACGTCCTTATTGTTATTTGTATATGTTTGCCTATCAAATATACGAATTACAACATTTGAATTTGAAAATCTTAAAATCATAATTTTTTAAATCTTTGTTGTTTTTTACATATATAAAACTCTTACAATAACTCGTATGATTTTTTTAGATAAAATTTGTATCAATTTAATTTGGTGTTGAAATTGAAAAATAATAAATCAAGACACATGAGTGATTAAGAAATAATTTAGTTTTTATTTTTTCAACCTATAAGAAATCATAACTTTTGAAAAATTGTTGTAAAAATTTTGGTTAGTGTATATTTTAATAAAGATAAAAGGAGGATATATTGATATTATTGATGGATAATTTTTAACCAACTTTAAATGAAATGAAATTAAATTAGATACTAAAATTAAGAAATATGTTTGTCACAAACGAGGTCACGATAGAATAATGAAAATAAAACGAGAATAAAAAATATTAATTATCAGTAAAGTCAACAATACTTGCCCCAATAACACTTTTTTATTTTTGTTTTTTATTTATAAAATAGTTTACGGAAGAAAATTTTGAAACTATATAGACGTAAATTTTATTACTATCTCAATCCTCGTTTCAGTTTGTTTCTTTTTTTTTTTGTCCAAATAGCCAAAAAATTCGGTGGCCCAATAGAGAATAATGTGGCCCATATCTCTAAATCGGCCCGTATAATTTTTTTGGATTTCATTTTCCCCACCTGTTTTTGCAAACAATTAATTAACAGAAAGGAAACAAAATGAAGGAAAAGAAAAACTCAAACGGATCTGAATTGTATGTAAACGGAGGAGGGGGTTTTGTTTCGCAGTGAGCTGAGCCTATTATCAACACAAACAACAATTTCAGTGAATCGACGGAAAAGAAGAGGAAAAAGATTGTCACGGGATTGCGATTATTTGATCATGCTCTTCTCTTCAATTCCCCTCTCTAAATCCTCCTGATTTTTTCCCTAGTCACATCAGATTCAATTGAATTATACCCCTCAAATGCAATGGTGGTCTGCAAATGTCGCAAGGTTCCGCGTTTTTCTCTTTCTCTGCTTACAGTTCGCGCCTTTTTCTTTCTCTTTCCAAAACCCTGATTTGTGTTTTCGCAATCACCCTTGATTTTTTAGCTGGGTATGTAGATCCGATTGGTATTGTCAATTCAGATCAACCGCGGGTGATCTACGTTCTCTTGCATTTTGCGTGATTTGATTTTTATTTCCATTTCCATTTCCATATGCATTTGGGTGATGGAAACAAGTCCTTGTACTTTAGCATATATTTGATACAAGTGATTATTAATTTTTGGCGTTTTTTTTTTTTTGCATGTGATTTTCGTTTCTTGATTATCCTGAGGACCTATGATGGTTGTTTCCCATTTTCGTGCTTGAATTAGAGCTAATGCTGTGTTGTGCGTTTTGAATGATGTTTTAGGCTACTAAGTTATATTGCTTCGTGCACAAAGTTCCTGTCTGCGGGGAATGTATCTGCTTCCCGGAGCACCAAATTTGCGTGGTAATTTCTTTTCTACAATTCGTATATTTTGTTATAATTCACTTTCATTTTATGCTCTATAGTCTCGTTTTCTTGCTCTTTCGTTCTTCATTTCCCCTTTTTGTTATTGCTGATTTCTGTTTTTCATTTAATATATTATACTTGCTCATTGTTCCCTGGTCGAAGATTTCAAATTGATTCTAGTTTTGGACTGAGTATTATTTATCATGCAGTCTTGTTATTTGTCCACGTGTTTATGTATGAAGTTGCGTCTGCTTTGTCCTTTCGCAGGTCCGAACTTATTCAGAATGGGTTATAGATGGGGAGTATGATTGGCCTCCGAAATGCTGTCAATGTCAGGCTGATTTAGAAGAGGGGGATGGATCTGAAACAACTCGACTGGGCTGCTTGCGTATGTGATTTTGCTCTTGTTTTCCTTTGAAATAATTTTGGCTGAGTTTGCACTGGTTACGTATTATAAATTTAAATTTTGTATATAGATGTTATCCACACAAACTGCTTCATCTCGCATATCAAGAGTTTTCCTCCACATACTGCCCCAGCAGGATATGCATGTCCTTCATGTTCTACTTCTGTAAGATCTACCTTCAAATGATTCCTGTCTTCCTTAATGAAAAATATTTTTAATTGAAATTAGCTCATTAACGTATATGTTTTAACTGAAAGCCAATAGGTGGCTTCTGTCTAGTTATGTTCAAACTTCACAGTGTTCTTTTCCCTGAGCATTATGTAGAAACAAGGAAAGGAAAGCATCATGTATCTCCCACCCCGTTCTTTTAAATTTCATAATCGTTTAGATTGGACAGAAACACTAGAAAGGCAATTGGTGTGTTTTAGGTGCCCATAACTATGTGTACAAAGAGGGAAAATAAAATGACATATTGTTCCCAATCTTTTTTTTTTTTTCTCTCCATTTTATTTATTCTTTTTTAAAACATATTTTCTTAATTATGAGATGTAGATATAAATACCAGAAAGCTAACCATCCATTAGTGCTTGTTTTAAAACGACTACTAAGTGGCTTGTCTCAGGAGGGACCTTGTCACGAAAGTAGTTTCTTAGTAGAGTAGAATCATAGTATGTCTTAGAAATAGATACTCTATTAATGGTTAGCTACATAAAATGTGGCTTGTTCAACCATTATATGATTATGATTCCTCCCTTTACCATTTAAAAACTAACTTTAGGCAGTAGTATGGCAAAATTCTCCATTTTTTTTTTTTTCTCTTGGCCTCATTTGATGAAATAATTGTACAGATATGGCCTCCCAAAAGTGTGAAAGATTCGGGATCACGTCTTCATTCCAAGTTGAAAGAAGCCATAATGCAGGTGATTTAAGAATGGATAGTATATGATCGGCTCACTTTTACATTAGTTTGAGATTATCGTAGGGTATATTTCTTAAATAAAGAATCTAGAGCAAGCTTGTCATCACAAACATTGCTGCAGTTATGAATTACGAACAAATTGGGACTTGACTTCTATATTCATTGGATTTTTATTTTTAAGAAAGTCCTTGTTGTTCCAGGTCTTTGTCAGTCTTCATTGTTTGCCGAGTACACTGAAATTGTATTATATGCAATGTCAACTTTCTTTGGTGCTATGAGAACAATTGAACTAATAAGGCACTCAGAAGAATTATTTATGTTACTAGCAAATGCTTGGACTATGCATATAGTTTAATATTATTAGTTTCTCTTTCATTCCCATCTAATTTTTGTTCAGCGTCTTCATGTTCACTGTAAGGGATTCTGTTAACGGTTATGATACCATCTGAGAAATTCAGAAGGTGTCATGTCTGATTCTTGTTAAATGGACAGTACTGAATATTAGTGCTTTACCACTGATCAATAATTGTGGTAGTAAATTGTTGATTATTTCTGCATAAAAGTGACCTTTTCTAAAAATCATTTACTTCCATTCCATTTTTTGTGTTGATATTTAATATATATTGGCACCTAGTGTTATTTCCCTTGTCTGTTTTCTCATTATAAATAAATTTTTCATTAGTTTTTATCTGTTTTTGTGCAGTCTGGTATGGAAAAGAATGTTTTTGGAAATCATCCAGTTTCAATGACAGAATCACGAAGTCCTCCACCCGCTTTTGCTTCAGATCCATTGATTAGTAGGGAAAATCATGGAAACTCCGACTTGGTTGATGGAATCTCACCTGCAACGGGGTCAGAACTACCTAAACTTACAGTGGCAGATATTATGGAGATAGATGATGCTAATTCAGCAGGAAATTTCATAAAAAACTCAAGTCCTGTTGCTGTAAGAGGATATTTTCAGTGCACTTTTATTGTGTTTTCATTTATATATCGTCTTAAATTTTAACAAGTAGGCTGAATTTTCTCTTGTTTTTATTGCAATGGGAGTTGTATTTTATTTCATGTGTTTGATATTTTTTCTTACAAAATTGTTCTTGTTACAAATAATTTAGCCTGGTGCCACCACAAGGAAGGGCTCAGTCCATGTTGATCGACAGAATTCTGAAATTTCTTACTATGCTGATGATGAAGATGGGAATCGGAAAAAGTACACAAAACGAGGTGATATTGTCTTTTTGAATGATTTTTAATATTTTAAAATTTTGTGATTAATACTTGACGTGTCTTCATTTCTGCTCTTTTTTGTATTGTTAATTTGAATTTTCATCTTTGAAACTGTAGGTCCATTCCACCATAAGTTTCTTAGAGCTTTACTTCCTTTCTGGTCTACCTCCTTACCTACACTACCAGTGACTGCACCTCCAAGGAAAGATGCAACAAATGCAACTGAAACCTCAGAAGGCCGCACACGGCATCAAAGATCATCGAGGGTGGACCCAAGAAAAATTCTTCTTCTGATTGCAATTATGTATAGCTCTTCACTTCATGTTAATTTATAATAATCCAAAGTAGGAAAGGCATTAGGGAAAAAGATAAAAATCAAAATTTGGGATCTGAAATTTGGGCGGTCGAAGTTATGTTTGATTCACTGGGGATTCCTAGCGAGGAATGTTGTTTAGGGCAAGTGGGGAACGACTGGGTTAGTGAGCCTGCGGTTTTATTGCAGCAAGTAGTATATATCCCAGGGTTAAAGAGCTGGTAGTCTCTTTTAAATTATCTTGCATGCATCTTTCACAATGATGACGCTCTAATTCCTCTACCATGTATCTAAACTGCACTGTATGGAGCTTAAGTTGTAGTATATACTGCTAGTCTTCAACTGATGAAGTTATTATGCCGATCCATTTGCAGGGCTTGCATGGCAACTATGGGTATATTGTATTACAGACTGGTGCAACGGGGTCCAGGGGATGGGCTTCTTAATGATGAATAAATTTGCAATGGAATGCTCTTAATGTCCGGAGACGTTCAGTGGCTCCCATTTTGGTTTCTTGTTGATTCTGCTCTGCTGCTTCTTATCTGTTTGGCTTCTTTATTTGGACCAGTCGCTGTTTTGACCAACATACAAGTAGTTTGTTGATAATTTTTCATCTGAATGCCTAGGACAGTGACTTGTTACATGAAATCTTAGTCAGCCATCTTTGCTCTTTGCCCTCAGTTTTGGTGCCCTCTTGGAATGTAATTGCGGATTCAGATTTAAGTATTGTTCTCTTAATTGGATTATAAGTTGTCTCGGTCATTCCAAATATAATTCGCATATTGTTAGTCAATCAACCTTCATCTGTAGTTGTTTCATATATTTTGATAGACCGGTAATATGAAAATCTGCAACGATAACACTGCATGTTAATAGCCTTAATCTTTTGATTACATGGAGCACTATTTCTGTTCCATCAGCAAATTGTGAGGGTTGGACGAGTCATATCAGCCTACAAATCATAGCCAACAACGACATAAATACAAACAAGAAGTCAGCGTTAGGGTGCACTCCTACATGTTATTGTTTACAACCAAGAAGACCTAAACCTGTCTTTTTTTAAATTGTAGAAAAATAAAATAAAATAATTTTAAAATTCTGTTTCTAGAACTCGATTCTTCCTCTCATTTTATTTTTTCATTCTCTCTTCAAACGACGAAAAATATTGTTTCTTTCTGTTCCTTTTTTCTTAATTTTATTTCCTTACTTTCATTTTTTTCTTCCAAACAATATTCTTTTTCTATTGCTCTCTCGATTTCTTTTGAAGTATCGTTTAATATTCCTTTGGAGAAAAAAAATGTAACATTTTTTTTTCCATTTTAATAATTTATTTATAAGAATTTTCTATTATATCGTTTTCATTTTTACATGACAATAAATCTATTCACGCAAATTGGTTAAAAAGTAAATGAAATATAATAAATATATGCATGTAAATTAATTAGAGATTAAATGAAAGATAAAAGAATGATTAATGTTTTATATTGAACTTTGAACCAACAGTTAAGTAAATGGAAAAAATAATCTGAAAGTTAAAAAGAGATAAAATGTTTATAATATTCACCCATTCTTTCTTTTCATGTAGAAGTAACAATGTGTGAAGGGTGGATTTGGGGTAAAAACGCTACTAATGAACTATAACAATCATAAAAAGCAACATTTTCATTACTAATAATAAATTAGGTTTGGTCTAATTGTTTATGAAAAATGAAAAGTTGGAAGAATTAGAACTAGTTTTTATTCTTTGGCCGTTAGCAAAAGGGAGAGAAGAAGAAGGCTTAAAAGAAATATTGGTGTGAAGATAATATTAGAAGTACAAGATGATAATGTGCATGCGAGAGGCTCTTGGGAAAATTACAATAAATGTTTATTTTAGTCAAATTGTACCTTTCTTAAATCAATATTTGCTCACTCTTATACAACCTTTCCAACTCTTGGAGGTCTAAATATCAATACAATTCACGCATTCACAATCTTCTTTATATGACATGCTTTTTTAAACATGTGTTAGAAATCCCATTCTTAAAGCTACTATCAAATAAATAATTTAATTTCACAAGTCAAAGCAAATATTAAATTCATGCCTAGTTTACATTGTATAAGTCAAATAGAAACAACCATTAAACTCATTTCCATATTAAATTGGATATTAGGGCTGAACTTCTTCCATTATATATATAGTAGGTGAACACATCCAATTCTCTAGAGTAATGTGGTTGACAAACCAAAAGTCAATCTTTAAAAATAAGAACAAAGGGCTCAATTATTTGAAGCCACAGAAGTCAACACTTCATCATACTTGGATCACTTTTAATATGATTTTTGCCTTCATTCACTTGCATGCATGCCCTTCGCCTAGGCTTTTCTGGGATGATATTATGCATCACCCACAAAGATATCATACCCAAGGAAGTGTTACTTCATCCTTATATTTACCATTTTTGAAACACAAGGGTCTCAATCTGTAACTTTACCAGTAAAGAACACACTCTACAACTCTGATACTATTATTCAAATTTCTCTCACATAAAATCTCTTTTTCTTGAAAGAGATCCATGTTTAATCATTTATTTGTTCCACGGATATGTTTAGAATGTTATATTATTATTTTGTTTACTATTTTTAATAGAATTTGAAATATTTTTATAAATCAATAAATAATGAATAGTGATATATATAATTTCTTGATTATTTCAGTGCATATATAAAGTTTCAGAAAAGTTTTTTTAATGCAGCGAGATTCACACAGTTAATTAATTAAAGTAAATATTAATATGAGTTTTGTTGTCATATGATAATGTTTTATGAACTTGAAAGATGAATAAAATAAGCTTGAAGCCATTTTAAATGTACACGTGATTCTCTGATTCTGATCTCAGAAGAGGCCACGACATAGCAGTGGAATGCACGTTCCCATATTTGTGCATCTTTCCACGTCCTTCCTCTTTAATGTTTTATATATCACATGTTTCCAACAACTTCTTCCTACTTTTTATTAAGGATTTATAACCTTTTTATACATCAAAATTAATTTATCTTTGAATTAATTCCTAGAATGTCTTTTATATAGTTTTTAAATTTAAAATTTTAATTTTATATATAACTTCATTTTAACTATTTTTTATTTTTATTCTAAACTAATTACAAGTATAAATTCATATAAGATAATATTTGTATTAAAATTATATACAATTATCTTTTATCTATATTTTTTTATTGAAATTATTAACAAATTATATATACATTGAACATGTCGACATAGAGAAATGGGATATGTTGAACCTGTATCTATCTATCTATCTATCTTTTAAAAAGTTAACATTTTAAAAAGTTAAGTTATTAAGTTCAAATTTAACAGCTAAGCAACATTTGCAATGTTGATATTTTGAGAAATTATTTATTGATTAAAAAGATAGTTACTGTATTAAGAAGATAGATTTGGATGTAGCCTATAAATGTCAAAATCTAAACAAAACTCAATAAATTAATTCTAAAAAATAAATGGTTAATCAAATCTAAGTCATAATTTAGGTATCGGATTTCTATTTATGAATCTAATGATGAATCCGAGTTAAATCAATATTTTTTTATTAATTACCTTTATTATTTTTTATATATATTTATGATTTTTGTTTTTATTTAGTTTAATGTAAGCCACTTACAATAAAAAGACAATTTTTTTTATTAAAGTTATGATTTTTTTTCTCAAAACTGGAATGCTAAGATCTGATTCCATTGCGTTTTGAGTTTGTAATTGAAGAATGAGAGTGTGAATTATGTAATGTAAAGGAACGGCAGAGTCTAACATAGAAACCCATTATTATTATTATTATTACTGGTTTTGGTTGAGAACCAACCTTACCTATCTGCCAAATCATGTGCACCAAAACAATATCAAATTCAATACAAAAATATTCATTCGTTCTTGAACCGGTTCATTTATATTTTTAATGATACAGAAAGAATAATATCTTGGTCTCGACAGCAAAATTGTTGGAGTGTTGAGTAGGTCAAATTCAACAAAAATTTCTCTATAAATATTCTCATGAAAGAAAATAAAAAATCAATTAATCTTTTGTTATTAACTATTCATAAATTAATTCATAGAAAAATAGATTATTTGCAAGTGATAGCTGTGAATTAGAAGATGTGGTGTGTTTTTTTATTATTGGAGATTTTGCAGAAAAACTGATAATTTTAGTTGCATGAATGAAGTAAGCGAAGAAGATACTTACGCGTAAACTCTACCCTACAAACTGCCGTGAACATCGGTTATTGGTGAGATAGTGACACAACTACTTTCTCATTCATTTCAAACCCTAATTTTTCCACTCTTTTTCTTTTTCTTTTAAAAAATAATAACAATCATCCTTATCCCTATTGCTTCCAAGTACAACTTGTCCAATTATGTTCAATCATGTTACATGTTGAATTAAACTTTCTTTCAAATATAACTTAATTCAAAATAGTTTTTCACTCTTTAATCAACTTTCCTTTTGATACGTTTTTAAAATATAACTTGGATTAAAATAAGAATGATTTGCGAGAAACCAATGAACATGATATCAGCAAAACAGAACGATGAGTTTTAGACTGCTTGGGAGGGTACATGAATCCAGTTGGCAGACATCAAACAACACAGTCCGAATCAAAATAATTAGGCACTTAGAATGTTGGACAGACATAAGACACCAATCCTTTCAATTTCCCCATGTCAATGTCATTTTCGTTCTTTCTGTCTAACACAAATAATTCTTGTTATATTAATATCATATTCTGGGCCAGCAATGACATTTTTCATTCTCCTTTTTTATGTCTTTGATGTTCTAAGTCCCACACTAGTCTCATTCAGCAATACTTGTTGATCATTGTAGTTCTTTCTCACCTGAGAGGGGAATTATAAGCCCCGTTCAATTCAAGGATGATTATTTTAATAAAGTGAAGACCATGAGCTGAGTCTTTTAATCTATAACGGGTCCCACAAGGACTAGTGGAAATTAATTTCAGGGTATTAGTACTTTGTCAGCGCTAAATCAATGATTTATGGGATCTTTTTCCGCAGATGAATCCAATCCCTTTTTGGCATTACATTAGATTGTTAGGTATAAATGTACTACTACTGTTCTCACTTTTCCTATCTTTGACTACTGAAACAAACCAAGTTTCTTCAGTTGTTGCATACTATCACACTTAAACAAGAGAACCCTTCATTCTCGCAGATTTTAAAAGAAAAGAAAAATGGAATCTTCTCAACAGATTTCTGAAGAATGGGGTTCTCTTTCTGGATTGCACACAACTGAAGAAGCTGACTTTATGGCTCAGTTGTTTGGTGGCACTAACTATTCTGTCACAGAAAAGCACTATGGAAATACCAGTTTTGGCTTTTTGACTGGCCATGAATCCTCAATAGCGACCATGCAAGGCACTAATAGCAACTCATACTTCCCTTCAAATGCTACAGATATTAACTTTTGTTTCTCACAAGGGAGTAGTTCCAGCACTGATAGTGGGAATAATATCTTTTCCACTACAAGTAGTGGAACCTACTCCTGTGATCCTGCAACAAACTTTGACTCTCTGCCCATGATTATTTGCATGGGAGACGCCCAATTTGTCTCCCATAGTTTTCAGTGTAATGACTACTCAGGCCAACAGATGAGTGAAAACACTGATGAAGAGTCAAGTCTAGACCCAGTGGCTCTAGCTGACAACAATTTGCTGGTTAAGAGGGACTATGAGATGATGGTTTCTGAACATGTACAAGAGGATAGAAGTGGAAACGTGGAGAACCTAACAAAAAGATTTAGGAGCTCAAAAGAGGTAGGAATAGAATGATACCAAGTTAATATTCTGTTATCTAGTGCTATCAGTATGTATCTTTCTACTTTTTTACATCAGAGATTGAGTTATGTTGTTTACTAGTGTTGGACTCTGATCCTGATTTTATTATGTGTAGGTCTCAAAAACAATGAGGAATGCTAAGTTGAAGAAAAATTCAAAATCTGCTTCAATGAGCAAGGATGAAGATGATAGAACCTTGAACCTCCAAACGCGAGGCTGTTTTTCACAGGGTGACTCTAATGCTTCTCTGGAGCCAAATGGAGGGGCATCGAAAGATCATGCACCTCCCAATTTGCTTAGAAAATCAAGAGCAACTAACAGTCCTGCCACTGATCCACAGAGCCTTTATGCAAGAGTAAGTCACCCTTTAAGAGGACATTTCATCAATGAAATCACAGTGACTATTGCACATGTAATAATAGCAATAATCAAGGTTTTAAATAGCATTTTACGACCGTAATTTCAAATCCAACATCAATGTTTTTAGAATTTATACAAATGCATAAGAACTGTAATTATCTCTACATCAGTCACATTTGCTCTGACATGAAAGAATGTGATGAAATTACGATTAAAAAACCTCAACAATAATTTCCATCTTTGTTCTTAATTAAATAAACATCTTTTACTATGCCTAAAAGGGTTTTTCCTTTTGTGTTGTGCAGAAGAGAAGAGAAAGAATAAATGAAAGGTTGAGAATACTACAAAGTCTTGTCCCCAACGGAACTAAGGTAACTCTCAGTGTTAATTGAACTGTTGCTGAACAGCTGGTCAGAGTGCTCAGATTCTCATGCTCTTTCTTCCTAATTTGTAGGTGGATATCAGCACCATGCTTGATGAAGCAGTGCAATACGTTAAGTTTTTACAGCTACAAATTAAGGTAACAATAAGGAAAACCTTCCCATTAGCTTTTTACAGGGATCTTTTACATTTTTTTTTTGTTTTCAAAATTATTAATTAATTTGGATTTGGATGAAACAGCTTCTGAGCTCTGAAGATCTGTGGATGTATGCTCCAATTGTTTTCAATGGTATAAACATTGGACTTGACCTCAGTATTTCTCCAACCAAAGGAAGATGATTTAATGTGATAGCATAGCAGCAATTAAAGAGGACACAATATTTCATTAACTTGCCACTCTATGATGTTTTAGTTTATTCATTTCTGTAATGCCACTGAATCCTGCAAACTATGGACACCATTAATTAGTCATACAAGTCTTTTCGAGAAATGACACATCAATTTGTGTCTAGTGAATACGAACTTGCAAAAATTAGTAGTAATAATTTATTGATGTCTGGGTCCATCAAACCATGAATAAATTCATAGATTTTTCTAAAACTTTCTTGGTAATTTATTAATGTTAAAATCTTAAATGAAAAAATAAATCTTGGAATATATGAAAATATATTTCTCATGTAATAATACATTAGTGACTATTAAGAATCACGCTGAAAATTAATTTCTTTCAAACAAAGTTTATAATCAAATTTACTACATTTATTTCCCTGTTCAATAACCACATTAGTTTCATCACTTACTATCATCTCAACCAGAGGATACTAATAATCGTTTGCTACATATGATTTACGAATACTTTAATTAGTAAATTTAAATTTTGACAAACATTAATCTGCAGATAATTTGTTTAATTAATATAATTTCTTATCAGTATACATTTTAACATATAATTTCAGTGAACACTTTATAATTATTTATTTTTTCAAATCTTTATAATATCTCCAATAATGTCTTATATAAATACTAATTTAAAACGTTATTGGAACATTTTTGTAAGATTTTTAGCACTTTTGAATTGTATCATATAATATATTTTTTTTAAATCCCTCACAAAGTGTGGAGCAACATCTAGTTAAAATAGTTAAGATAATAATAACAGTGTAAATAATTGGTGGCAAAGCTATGAGTGTAACATTCTTAAATTTGAGTGTAAGAATCAAACGGGCACTCACGTTAATCATCCGTATGTCAAGGAATATATTGTTGTTCCATATATTCCAACACCATAAACATAAAATACAATTCAGAATGTAGAACACTGCCCTGAAGCCAGAACTGGTGTTCATATACAAATGATTAATTGTGCCATCGTTTCATATGTGGATTATAGCCCAGATTTCCCAACTCAGCAATATGATAAAAAGCTGAACTGGGCACAAGAATCTCGCATTATATCGATCCACGTAATGCTTGCAAAATCTAAAACTGAAAACTGGGTTGAAATGGTGAAGAGAATGTGGTAGGTTTTCAAGAGCTCTAGAGGGGACAAAAACACAGTTAGCAGATAATGCTGTCCTGTTTTGAAAACAGTTTTTAGAATATCAGACTTACCACCACGATCTCTAGCCGTCCTTCTTGCATACGTCATTTTTTAATTTTGTCTAATGCAAATATTCGTATAATATCATATTCAATCCAACCCCACGTCTATCTCACAATTAACAGGTGTAATTCTCTTTGTACAACCCTCCAAATCTCCTCATTCTCACTTACAAATACTTTTATATTCTGCTTCTCTCTCATCCGTGGGAGGAATTTTCAGGTCTAGGAAATCTGTATAGGCCTTCTTCACAATGATATATTCATATTCTAATCAAAACCAGATAATTGGAATTGGAACTAAGTACGCCTTTTGGTCCAGTGGTCCAGTGGTTGAAGGTCTCTTCTGGAACACGGGTCGGCTTGGTGCTCCAAAATCGATTTGTTAAAATAGTGTTTGGTCATGGAAATAAAAAAAAAAAAAACTTGGAACCGGGACCCTTCAGTTATAACTTGTAGATGGTCCCACCAAGGACTTTTGCATATTGATTTAAGGGTGTAGGACTTTGTCAGATGCTGATTATAATTATTGCAAATTATGAGTTGAGATCTTTTTATATGGATGAAGTCAATCCTTAGTGGTTTATGATTTCTGCTTCTTGGGTATAAATAGAGTACAGTTCTCATTCTACGAGAGGGCTTCTTCTTCAATAACAGTTGAAAAAGAAGAGCTACACCTAAGAAAGAAAATGGATCCTACTGAGCAAATTTCTGAAGAATGGAGTTCTCTTAGTGGCTTTTACACAGCTGAGGAAGCTGACTTCATGAGCCAGTTGCTTGGCAACTGCTCACTCCCTGAAAACCTGTGTGGGAATTTCCATTTGGGAATTCCATCTGCAATATGGCCTGGTCATGAATCAACAATAGTGAGCGTGACAAGCATCAATGACAGTCCATATTTTCCTACAAATTCTGATAATAGTAATTATTTATGTTTTTCACAAGGAAGTAGCTCCACTTCTGATACTAGCAATATATTTCCTGCTTCAAGGGGTAACAAACACTGCTTGAATGACCCAGTAGCCAACATTGGTTACATGTCCATGGGCTTTGCCAAGTTCAGCCCATATAATGTTCAAGGGAGTGACATCCCGCAGATGAATGAAAACACTGATGAAGAGTTATGTCTAGAGGTTGTTGCTGACAAGAATTTGCATAATCACCAGGAATGTGAAGCAGCACCAGAGGATATAACCATCAATCTGGAGAAGTCAGGAAAGAGATCTAGGGGCTCTATGCTGCAGGTAGAATAACAATTTATTAGATTCTTTTCTAAATAAATCAACTACTAATGATGTTTATTAGTCCCATAATAATATAGTTGTATAAACATTTCCTTTTCCTGCAGAATTTATTGTATGTGTTTGGTTTTGTGTGGTTCTTCTCGTCATGATTTGATGATTTTGATTTAATGATTTCATAGGTAAGAAAGAGCAAGAGAAACGCCAAATCCATGAAGAAACCAAAATCTGATTCTATAAGTAACTCTGAAGAGGGTAGAAGTCCTGATCTTCAGGATTGCTGCTCAGAGGATGATGACTCCAATGCATCTCAGGAGCTAAATGGAGGAGGATCTTCAAGTTTGAGCCTGGAGGATTCTACTTCTCTTAAGTTGAAGGGGAAAAAATCAACAGCTAATAGAGGTTCTGCTACTGATCCACAAAGTGTATATGCAAGGGTATGTATTTCATCAAAATAATTCTTTCTAATAATTTATGATCTTGTATTGTTGTGCATGTAGTGTAAACTGAAAAGGATATGATGTTATGACGTTTTCCTTTTGCATAATGCAGAGAAGAAGAGAAAGAATAAATGAAAGATTGAGAATCCTACAAAACCTTGTCCCAAACGGAACCAAGGTAGATTTCTCAATCAATATCCAACTATTGCCATAGTCAAACAAGTGGTTGATTTAAGATGCTGAAATTTGCTTCCTCATTAATTGCAGGTGGATATCAGCACCATGCTTGAGGAAGCTGTTCAATATGTGAAGTTTTTACAGCTCCAAATTAAGGTAAGAATCCTCCTTAGTCTTTACTCCGCATTGTAAAAGATTTTTTTATACTAAAAGATAAGAGACTAATTATGATTTCAATTTAACAGCTTCTGAGCTCTGATGATCTCTGGATGTACGCTCCTATTGCTTACAATGGAATGAACATTGGACTGGACCTCAATATTACCCCAACCAAACAGGCATAATCATAGCAGTGAAAATTTAAGAGTGCCCTTTGGCCTTTTGTGAGGTTTCTGTTTTGTTCAGAAGTATGTATTAACTGGCATTTGATCATAAGGAAGTATGAGATTTTTTTATTCATAAAGTAAGAGATTAATTAATCAAGAGAGCCTTATGTATTTTGAATAATCTATGTTCGGTTTCACCTTATATCTGATTTATCCAACTAACCTCATTTGGACAACTCTAATATCACCATAAACAGATAAAAAACACTGTTATACACATTTATAGAGGTTAGAAACAAATACAAGGTGAAGCAGATAAAAAAAATTGTTATAAAAATTTATACAAGTTAAAAATAAAGACAAGGTGAAGCAGATAAAAAACATTGTTATAGCAGTTAAAAACAAATATAATGTACTTTTATAATTAGAAGTAGAAATAAAATATTGAGACCAACAAAATAAGATTTGAATTACCAATCATTTTAAGTACAAAATAGTTTCAACAAAAATAGTTTCGAATAGATAATATGATTTAAATCATCAATCATTTTAAGTACAAAATAAGTTCATCAAATAAAAAAAAAGTAAAAATTGTTTCATATTTTATATCACATTGCTACAAATTTAATGGCAATACGATTTTATTTTATTTTTTTTATACATTGTGAAAATGACTTCCATACGTTACAGCTACATGGAATTACTTATAACCAATAAACTTAAATTCACTATTGGTTCTCATTCTTGACTCTCTTTTTTTTCATGTAGAATATTAATAAAAATATTTAATAATACGTTTTAATACTTGTTATTATTGAAAACAAGTATGCATTTTCTGAACAATTAGACGAAATATTAACGTTTTATCAGAACCGTTTAAGAAAACTCAATATGTTACTAAAGTTTTAGAGACCATAACTATATACAAATGAAACTATAAAACAAAAATATATGGTTAATAGTCATATTATCATGTTTTGTGTGGGAACTCCCTTGTCAAATTTCACATCTCATCCCTATATTTTTTAAATGATTTGATTGAAATAGGTTTTTATTTTAAATGACGTTAAATATATGATGACATGTTTAATAAAGATAGTATGACTCATTCATTATTTGACCCGTGTAATTATTAAAAAAAAGTAAAGCTCTTTACAAAAAATAGAAATTACCTAACATATATTATTATTTAAAAAAAAAACAAAATTAAAAAATAAAAGCTTTTCTTTTCTCCTCACGTACTTAAAGCTTCTTCGGTTCTCGTCACAACTACTTTTCATTCTCTCTTCTTTTCTCGTCACAACTACTTTTCGTTATCTTTTCTTTTCTCGTCATACATCAAAAGTCTTTTCTTTCTTCTCCTTTCTCTATAAAAGTTATATGAAGTCAAAGTGACTTTGAAATCAAAGTGACTAGTAGTACAATAATGGTATACAATAACTAGGGTTTTCATTTTCAAAAATTAAGATAAAAAAGTTTAGATGGTTTATAAATGACAAAGAAATTCAATTTTTTTTTAAATATTATAAATAGAATTTAAATTACTTTTAAAAGTTTGACACCTTTTAATTTAATTTAATTTTTTAAAATAATTACACGTATCAAATAATAAATAAATCATACCATATTAAACGAGTCAACATGTACTTAACACCGTTTAAAATAAAAATTTATTTCAATCATTTAAAAAATAGATCATTTTTATGGGAATTATAATATATAATTATTTTCAATTTCACATAAAAATATAAAGACTAAAAACAACTTAACCCTACAATTTATTATAAAAAATAATCATACAACATATTCTTAACTAAGACTACCAAAGACATTTAATACGTGTCGTCATCATTTGCTTTGAAAATCTGAAGACAAAGTTCAAGAAACTTAATCTTATAATTATCTCAAAAATAAGACAAAAATATGCTACAGATAAAACTAATGAAAGAAACTAAGTTTGAAATCTAAATAGATGAAAAATGCTTGTTTGAAGAAAAATAGGAAAAAAAAAAAAACAAACAGAAAAAGTGTAAAATTCTGTTAATATTCCTTTACCTTCTCCCTCTTCCCTATTTTCCCACCATTTCTACTCTCCAAAACAACAAAACATAAAGATGGAGGGTGGAGAAAAGAACACCCACCAGCCAATCAATGAATGAACAATGTTGTTAAGTCTGTAATAAAAAAATACGATAGGTTACAAGCGCAAGAAGTGGCATAAACAGAAATCCTAAAATCTAGTGGATATTAAACAACTTAAAAAAGTATACCCTAAAGTAAGTATACAACTTGCTACATTCCCAATAAAAACGTAGGACAACTATCTATTTCTGGACCCTTTTTATTGTCCATATGATACAGTCTATCAAATTCAAATTCTCAGAAATCTGAACTCAAAAAGGTACACAGGGTAAGCCACACTCAGGCTTCAGACATAAATATTCAATCCAACAAGGCTCACATGTATTCTCCTCTCACGCTCTTTCATCGTTCGCATGATTTACAACCTCTCCTTGGCTGTCCAAGGGCATATACTGTGCCATGATGGCTCTGATTTCAGAATCCATGTACGACTGCAAAAACACCAACAAAAAATACAGGTAAATGGTAAATGTCATGAATCGAATAGAAAAGGCATCTATTAGCATCACTGAACTGAGAGAATGTGACTAACCCTTATTCTATATTTGTACACGAGGTATGCCCCACCAGCAGCCACAACTAAGCCAACTAAAATAACCCAAAAAGCAGCCCAAGCTGATCTTCCCTCCTGACTGGCAGTTTTACCTGCAAAATACCCAGTTGAAAATAAATGAAACCAACCAATTCAAATGTCATGCAAGTAGAGGAACATCAAGTGTATTTGACTCACTTATGCAAGTATCGTGGTCCCTTATATACAAAAGATCTCCACTACATGTGCAGTCATAACTGCCCCAAGTATTCTTGCAGCTACATTCAGGGCACTGACAAGCTTTCTTGTCTTTGCATTCATCGATGTCTGTAAGGATGACATATAGAAGTCAAGATATTTTGCTTAGTTTTGATGAAAACTATCAAAGATAATTAACAATGCTAAAGTGAAGGATTAATATAATTACACAACTACTTAACAGTGAGATGAGGTTAAAGTAGGGCTTATCCAAGTACTCCCTCCTATCTCAAATATATGCAAAAATGTCTTTTATGTTGGTCTCAAATATAAACAAATATCAACTAATTTCACCTTACTGAACGAGACAATTTCTAAAATTCCATATATTCAATTGGGAATTTTTTTCAATGACTCTTATACTCTTGATATCGAGTTCCAATAAAGGACAGTTCAGGAAAAAAAAGTTTATTGATAAATGAAATTTGTTCAATTAAATGTTACTAACTTTCTTAACTAGTGTGAATTACTTTTTTAACTAGTGTAAAAATCAATTTTATTTATTTCCTCTTATTTCTCTTTCCTACCAAGCCTTACGGAGAATCTCATTCAATCGTACTCTTCCCAATAAATTTTTATTTTCATTACATCTCAACTGATTTAGTTCAAAATGCTCTAATAGGGAGATTATGTAAGTGTCCGTGTAGCAAATCATATTGTTCAGTTGGTAGGGTAGAAACATACTTTCTAAGTTTGATCAGAAGGTGCAAATCTTAACCATGGTTTGGGTGGAAATGAGAACAGTTATTTATTTAATGGATCTAAATAGGGTATTAAAATATGCATCACTTGATTGACTGGTCCAAAAAGCCAAAATTGAATCAAGTCAAGCCAAAAATAAATTTGTTACTTAAATTAAATAAAATCAATTTTGACCCGTTCATTTGACCTATGGTCTAAATGAACTTAAGCTTCATAAGCTTATGGGCCAATCTATTATATAAATAACTATTAATTTTAAATAAAAATAAAAATAATGTTATTTTATTTAAACAATATGTATTATAATTTATATATCAAATTATCATATCTAAAACTAATTTCATTAATATAACATAAATTTTAAATATATATTTTTATTTTTATTTTTTGGATAAATTGTATTTTATGGACAGAATGTAATGTTTTAAAAAATTTCAGCCTCAAACTATGGTTTGCAAACTATAACCCACACCATATACACTAAGCTTACATATGTTTTTATTTTTATCTCCACCAGAAGATTTATGAAATAATGAGAATAACCACAATATTAAAAGCAGGATCCGGGATTCTATTCTATCCAGGATATACTACAAGAGCAAAATCCCAGGGAAAAAATAATAATATAAAACAAATTATCAACATATCTCTCACCTTCACAATTCTTGACACCATCACCTTTAAAGCCTGCAGGACACTGACATTTAACCTCTCCATCATCCTGTCCATGAAGAAATGATAATTTATGTCATAATTCAGTTTCCATTATAGAATACAAACCTCGCATGGTGAAGTCTTCAACATTCAAGAAATTTAATAACTACTAACCGAACAAGCAGAATATGCATGTCCATTCCGAGCATCATGCCAACAACCTCCATTGTTAATCTTGCACCGCCCAGGTCCACTAGCTGCAAACCCAGAAAAAACTAGTTGAATAAAACTCTGAATACATACAAGAAAAAGGTTAAATTATTCTACCCTAGTGTGTATGTGTGTGTGTGTGTGTATATATATATAATAGGTCTATAATTTGATAGGTTAGGTCCCAATAATTACAAGCTAAAAGCCTCCAACAGTCTACAAGTAGGGGCCGACCCCAAAAACTGCTAATAAGGGATAGCTGAATGAGGAATGGCCACTATTCTAATTCTTTTTACTATTATTATTTAATTTCTTATATTGTATGTAATGCTTTATTCAGTGGTTATTATTACTATTATGATTTAGTAATTTACCTTTATAAAAATGCAGATTTCTAAAACTAAAAAGCCATCACACCCAGTCAATGCACGTAAATGAGAGCAATAAGTAAATATCAAACCCAGGAACCACTCTATTTCATTTAAGCTGAAAATATTTACAAAATAAAAATAAGTAAATATGATCATGGTTAACTGTTCGTTCATACATCCTTCTAATTCCATCCTTTTCAATTACAAAGAACATGCTCAGAATTAGATGTAGTTTAGATGACACTTGTGCAAATAGATAAGTTTATATTTTAACCTGCACAGGTTGTATAACCATCTCCTTTGAATTGCACACCATCCACCAAGGGGCATTCGCATACTCTCCCACGGAATGTGTCCTGAGAAAATATTCACATATATATAATCAGGAATACAGCAAACTGGAACAAGAAATGTCAGATATTCATTTTAATTTAAGTACAAATACCTTGCATGCGGTGATGTTAGCCGATTTATCCAGCCAACAGCCACCATTATTCTCCAAGCATTCATTTGTCTCCACATCTGCCAACAAAAGTTTGCGGCTTAGAAAACAAATAGCTAGTTTCTCTTTGCAGAACCAAAAGAAAGTAAACATTTACCACTGCTCAAACAAACAGCTGGTTCAGTAGTTTCTTCAAAACCAGCACAAATAGCTTTCATAACAGCACCTTTCTCCAATTTTCCTGAAAAAGAAAAAAAAAAGCGCTCAAGAATTGGAAATCCAGATCAATATCAATCAGAGAAGTATATAGTACAAACCTCGATACTGTCTATTGTTGACAACTAGAGTAGGCAATATGGTAACATCACCTCGTGACCCCTTCCCAACCTAAAAACACAAGTTTATTAAAAATCTATACATAGCAATCTCGGACAAGCAATTAAATGATAACATTAAAAAAAATAAAATTAATGTCAGAAAGGAGTACCTGGGCATCTTGCTCTTCTTTCAAAACAGGATTTTCAGAATCAGCATTCGGATCTCCCATGCACCTTTCAATCTTTTTAATATCAAGGCCTGCATATTTTGAATAATCATCTTTTAGAAGTCATCATCAACCAACAATGGAAAACATAATAAACAACAATAATTCACTTGCCAAGAGATTCAATGACAGCATCTGCACATTTCTTGTTGTATTTTTTCTCCTTCATTGGGCATCTAATTTGAAAATCAGTGACATAATCCCACCACACCCAAGGCTTTTTGGTTTCATTTGCCACCTTGAAAACACAAAGCTGCCTTAAATTTTCAATAACCACATCCTTTCCATCGTAACCAGTGCTGAAATCCTGCTCAGGATCTGGAGCACAATATCTCCCATGATTTATGCACTGGGACTTGCACTGTTTGCTCAATGTGAATGCCTGAGGACAGTACCAAGTTATATAATGGGGCGTAAATTGAGTATAACCACCTTTCTCCAATATCTGTGCCGCACCCTTAAAATCCTTCACAAATTCCATCAACATATCACATTTAACTCCACACTCATCATTGCTGTTGGTCCACAATTCATACTCCACACGATCATCCGGGTGGGGAACAGCCTCTCTCCAATCAAGATTTACATTGACCATATCCCCATTACTTATGGCATCCTTTAACTTTCCACCAAAACTCTTTTCAATGAGGGCAGATGGTATTGTTATGTTCTCTATGTATTTCGCAGATGACCCATCCTCTTCAGGAGTGTCCATGGTTATCAACTTTTCCTCAATGTCATCTGCAACAAGAACAGCAGAAGCTCCAGCCTTCTGTGCATTCCATACCTTCAAAGCAAAGAAGCAATCTGCAAAAGAAAGAACACATAAAAACACTTAGAATACACTAAGCAACGGATCAAGACTTGCCTTACTCACAGCATGGCACTTGTGTAAAAGCAAACCACGTATTTGAGGTCATAGGTATTTGTATGTGATTGGATAAGTCATTGCAAAATTAATTTTGAATGAAATATCTTTGGTAAAAATTGATTTTGATGTGACATGCTTTATGTTTCTCTGTCTTTAGTCTAATAAATAGTGCCAGTAAAAATCAGTACGCTTAAAGTTGTTTCAACTCAAAAGTCAATTTAAGACTAGGAATAAACTGCAAAGTCAATTTAAGACTATGAATCAACTCCAAAGTCAATTTAAGACTATGAATCAACTCCAAAGTCAATTTAAGACTAGGAATCAACTCCTCGATGCAGAACCAACCGCGTGAACATTTACTAAAAATCATGTTAGCTGGTCAACTCAAAATCAATGTTAGACTGAGATTCCATTCCTCAACTTAGAACCAATCACGCAACCATTTACTTAAAATTATGTTAGCTGCTATTTTAAAGCGATTTTGTATGATCAATCGTGAATCCAAACATGCACGAAATAAAACCTAAGACCTGTCATTATCTATGAAACAATTCAAAACATATTTAAAGGGGTAACAGAAAATTCTTTACAGCATTAGCAAAACCCCATGAACCAAACAGCAAGGTAGTGTACCAAAATCAACAAAAAGAAATCAACTTTAGATCCCAACAAGCAAAACATCAACCCGAGAGACAAAAGCCCTTCTCAAGCAAAAGAAAACGAGCTAAAAAACCTCACAGCCACACACAAAATTACACCCCAAAATCACTCCCACAGAACCTGAAACCTTAAAATCAGACATGAAAAGAGTCGAAATAAGAGAATCTTACTTCCTCGATCGAGCAAAACGATAGTGGGAAGAGAACCGGGTTTGGATTTGAAGGAAATCCCATACTCATCGAACTCCTTGCAACCTTTTTTGTTGTCCTTGGGGTACACCACGTTTCCAGCCATGCTGCCTCCGTATTGGGGTATCCCGAAGTTTCCAATCGCGCTATCGTGCGTGCCCTTGATGTTGTCTGGCGACGTAACCGTCAAGCTGTTCTTCTCTACCACGAATTTCGCCATTGACGGCGGCGACAGGAACAGCACCAGAAACCCTAGAAAGACGCAGAGCAAAGATATCCGAAGCTTCATTTTGGGAACACCCAGAGAGCGATCAGCACTGGGTTTTAATAATTCCAAAACGGGTCGACTTCAGAGATCGTTTCAGTGGAGAAAGAAGGGTAGGTAAAAGACCAAAACTATTGAAAAAAAAAAAAGAAAAAAAAAAAAAAAGGAAAGTGGGATTCTTTTGTTGTTGTTTAAGAAAACAAAAACAGGTTTAGTCCAGTTGTGTATTTAAAATTATGTTTGCTCACAAAACAGGGGACTTGGAAACTCGGAAACGCTGAGACCTTTTTCTGTCGAATTCGGGAAGACAACAACAAAATTGCACCCTTTCGTTCTTCATCGAGTCTTAGAAAGGCCTTAACCATTAAGCATTTACAATTTTGAATTATTTAATTTTTTTTAGAAGTTTTGAAAGTTAGGTTTTTGAAAGCAGAAATATTAAATATATGACCAATCACATAAGAATTTGGTCAATATTTTATTTCTGTAAAAAAAATTCTGATTTTTTTTAAATATATCATATTTATTACATATTTTATTCATATAATAATGATATGATAAAAGTACTAAAATTATTCAAAATAATGTTTGAATTATCTGTAAGTTATGTTTTTTAAAAATTCTTTCTTCCAGAAAAAAAAATCTTATTATACTTCTTATCTTATATACGTATACCGTATGTAGCGTCCAATCATAACAGAAGACGTATCGTGTACAGGATAGATACCCTGTATTACAAGAAGAGGAGGTTCTTTCTTCTTCTTTCAAAAATCATTAAAAAAAAATACTACTTCGTAACAGTAACAATAAAACTACATTAATATTTTATACGGTATTTTTTAATTACATTTTCATTTTTACTATTTTTATTTATATAATAGTCTTCTAATAAGAAATGTAAGTCTAATACTTTTTAAAATATTAAAAGATATATGTATAATGTAAAAAATATATGCGTGTCGTATTTTTAAAACAAATAAAAAGTACGTGTTGAATTTAAAAATATTAAAATACAAATATAATTTAAAATTTTTCCAATGAGTATCAGTACAATTTATTGAAAAATTAATCGTGATTAGATAAGTTTTAAAATAAATAATACAATATTTTAGTTAGAATATCATTTTAATGATTAAAAAAATGAAAATGTCCAAAATAACAAATAGTCAAAAAATAATTTTTATTTTTTTCAAGCAACATTTTTATTCACCTAAACACATGTTTTATCTTGTTTAATTTTAGCTGAAATTTTAACTTGTTCAAGAATAAAAAAATATTTATAATAAATTTATAATTTATAATAAATTTATAATTTATAAGAATAAATTTATTGAATGTTAAATTATATTTAAAATAAATTTGGAATAAATAAATATATTTTAAAATAAAGTATATCATTCAATTTTTTTAACATTATTTAATTTTTTTACTATTTTTTTTACTATTTATTGCTAGTTTTTTTTAATAATTTTATCAACTTTAAATACTTGAATTTCAATGATTGAATTAGAAATGTGAATTGACTAAAGTTTAGGATAAAATCAAATTTTGAAATGGTCATATTTGAATAATTTGGTATGAATTGAGTTTTGAATGAACAAAGAGAGACTACTAATCCAATCAAACTAAATAATATTGGATTAAGTAAGTTATAATTGAAAATAAATTGTTAAGTTTTTTACTTTTTATGTCGACTTATTATCAAATTATATAATTTTTTTATTTTATATTAATTATCTATTTTATTTAATATTTAGTTTTTGTTTATGGTTACCAATATAAATATGGGTAGAACTTAAGTAAAACATTATAGAAATAGTTTTCATTATTATTTAATTAAAATACTTGTATTATTTGTTCCACGTCTCACTCGGTAGTATCTCGTTGGCAAAATTTGGGTCATGTATATATATGATACATATTTAAATGTGTTAGGGTCATTATTTATTAAGTCAAATAATAAAGTGATCTGACTAAATTAAAAAGGTTTGACTAAAGGCATATGTCATGAAAATAAAATTGTGTAGAGACCATAGAGCAATTTCTAATTTGATGAGAGACCAAATTGGAAATACTAAAACTTAAGTAATTAACCTAATTTTGGTTATTTTAAGGGGTCATGGTCCCCTTCTGGGAGCACGTAGACAGAACGAAGTTACAGTCCCATTCTTTTCTTTCTGTCCCCATCAAGAGAGAAAATCAAGAGGGAAATACAGATGCTCTTCAGGTGGAAGACCATAAGATCAATAGTGCTCTAAAAGCGACATCATCATTATGGCTAATTCAGGTACGCTTTCGCATTTAGTTTACAACATATTTATGAATATGAGATTACTTTATATTTGATCGCTAGATTGAATATCATATTTAATTATCAGTTTACCTTAACATTTGGTATCAGAGCAACCCATACTTAATTAATGTTTGTCTTTGGAATTTACATTTAACAAAATTCAGATTCTGACTAAGAACCCTAATTGGAGAATAATCTTCAAATTTTATGAACCCTACATTCAAATTTGGGGTAAATCCCCAATTTTAAAACCTAATTTCGAATTTGAGGGTGAAACCCCCAAACTGCTTCTGCTCCTTCGTCTTCATTGGCTAATTCAGTCGTGGGGCTGCTCGCGACGGAAAGGGGAAGCGTTGGAGAGGTTTGAACAGCGGTGGCTTAGGCCTCTGGCTAATTTAGGGTCAAGGATTCTCATTGGTTCTCGGAACTCATCGCCTTATGGGTCCTCGCCAGCAAATTCTGATCATACTCCTTCCGTTGCTTACAATTCGTTGAAACCTCGTTTCAATCATGACCACGCCAATCACCCCCCTTTGCAAGTGCATCACATTAAGGGTATCGCTTGGAAAGTTTTTGGCTTGCGCTCTTCGTATTTCGCCCCTTTATCAATGCCCTTTTGTTTAATCACATCGAACAGGGACGTCTCCACTTTCACGGTTAGAAATTGCTCAACCTCTGTGGAGATCCATGGCCATGACACCAATTTTGATACATGTTGGTTTGGTTTGGCGGTGAGAGTATTTGGGGTTAGGGAAAATTGATAAATGGCCCTGGCCCTTCCCGAGTAATTGTTTTACAAATTGTAGTGGTGGTCTCCGCGCCATATAATTTTATATATATATATATATATATATATATATATATATATAAATAAATAATCAAATTTTGGTTTTGTTATATAATATTCAAATTTTTGGTAGTTTAATATTTTTTGTGAGCAAATTGAGTCAAGAAGTTACCAAAGTAATATTTCTTGAATTGGGTAGTTCGTGAAAAATATTGAATATTAGTGTTTGTGTATATTCATGCGAGTATTAGTCGGCCCAAAGGAAGATTAATATTTGACCAAAATGCATATTCACTTGTAATGATAAACATGTGATAATTATAAGGATTTGCTTTGTCGATGATAAATCAATCCAAAGACTGGTTTGTTGTTGGACGTGTTTTATTGTCAATGTTTGATTATTACAACAAAATACCTCTAGCAGTTAATATTACTTGTCCAAAAACTTGATATTGATGGTGCATTGGGTGTCTTGAGATGAGTTAAACTATTATTTGAATATTTATAATTACTTATTCTTTATAATATGAGTATAATTAATTTATTTCTCTTGTTCTTAATTCAGCTACAATTGTTTCTGTATCTGCCAATTTAAATTCTGTTCCGATCCTCAAAAGTATGTTTCCCATTTTTGTCTGCTCTGAAGTCAATTTAGCGTCAGTACCTAGTAACACATGGTGGTTAGACTCAGGTGCAACTACTAACATCAGTGTTTCTATAAAGGGTTGCCTAAGCTATCGGAAGCCAATTGATTCTGAAAGATGGATATATGTTGGAGATGACAAATCGGTAGAGGTGGAAGCTATAGGGCCTTTTAAATTGTTATTGAGTACTGGTTTTTATTTGGATTTGAAAGACACTTTTGTTGGGTCGTCATTTAGACGGAATTTGGTTTCAGTTTCTTATCTGGACAAATTAGGTTATTTGTGTTCATTTGGAAACAATAAGTTCAGTTTGTCTTTTAATTAAGATATTATTAGAACTGGTTCACTTTTGCCTTATGATAATCTGTATTTACTTGATAATGTGACCACCTATAATGAAACCCTTAATACAGAATCACGGGGTACTAAACGTAAAATTGATGATACTCACTCAGGAGCATTATGGCACAGGCGCTTAGGTCACATCTCTAAAAATAGAGTTGAACGACTTATGTTAAATGGAATCTTAGAGTCCATTGACTTCACAAACTTTGATGTTTGTGTTGAATGCATTAAGGGCAAACAGACCAAAGCGAAGAGATTAGGTGCATATAGAGCTACAGACGTCTTAGAGTTGATACATACGGACATTTGTTGGCCATTTCCTACACCTTCGTGGAATGGTCAACAATACTTTATATCATTCATAGACGATTACTCACGATATGCATACTTATTCCTTATGCATGAAAAGTCACAATCTCTAGACGTGTTCAAAACATTTAAAGCTGAAGTTGAAAATCAACTCAATAAAAGAATTAAGTCTGTTAGATCTGATCGTGGTGGTGAGTACTATGGCAGATTTGACGGATCAGGTGAACAACGTCCAGGACCTTTTGCCAGGTACCTAGAGGAGTGTGGAATTGTCCCACAGTATACCATGCCGAGATCACCTAGCATGAATGGTGTAGCTGAAAGACGAAATCGAACTCTTAAAGATATGGTCAGGAGTATGATTTGTCATTCCACCTTACCAGAGTCACTCTGGGGAGAGGCACTAAAGACGACAGCTTATATTCTGAACAGAGTACCAACTAAAGCAGCGACCAAAACACCTTATGAGCTTTGGACTGGGCGACAACCTAGTTTGAAGCATTTCCATGTGTGGGGTTGTCCAGCTGAGGCAAGGCCTTATAAGCCAAATGAAAAGAAATTGGACTCACGAACAATAAGTAGTTATTTCATTGGTTATGCTGAAAGATCCAAGGGATATAAATTTTATGATCCCACATTAAAGACA